CATTAATGTGGTGTGGCCACCAAACCCCCTTCCTCCACAACTATAACCTCCTTCACCATCGTCCCTGTGCACATTTGACCCCCATTGTCACCTCATAGCTACTGATTTTGACACCCAGCATCCTTTATCATTCCTTTGTGCTCTGAAAACCATGCCTGCAACTCCCAACACTCCCAACTATGCCGGTTCTGGAACAGGCACCCCTTTTTTGTAAGAAGAATGAGGAACTTAAAAAAGTCACCTAAATCAAGGTAAATGAACTCAAAGCAAACTTTCCTACGGGGAGGGGCATGAGTCTGAACCCACCTTAGCTATCCTGCCGGGAAGTTGTCAAAGTGAACAGCCAATCATAAGTGGCAGAGGCATTCCCTGACCCGCAGGTACACATATAAATGTGGCTGCATGTTTCTCCACTGCAGGTGGTGCTCAACTGCAGTGGCATGGCAGAGGAAGAGGAACTCAGGAGAAACACGGTTCCTCTATGGTTTTCTGGGCCACTAGAGCAACTATCCGATTGGATGCTGATGGCCCATGTGACTCTGGTGTCCATCTTAGGTCAGGCAGAGTCTATTTAAGACCCTGGTTCCCAGGCTTGGCGTGCATCTTGTATGTGGATAGAGTAGGGACAGGTCACCCATCTGTCAAGGACAGTGCATAGAGAAAGGTTCCAGAGGCATAGGGAAAGTGCAGGGATATGCCATTCTTCCTGGAAGCCTCCCCACTTGGGTTTGGACCGGCCAGGCCTCAGTCCACCCCTCCGAGACAAACGCTGTCAGCACACCAGAGACTGCTAATGCTTACCGTTACTTCAGCCTGTGAGTGTTCCCGGTCGGGTGCTCCCCTGCCAGGCTTGTGAATTACCAAACTTTAACTTCAATACAGTTCTATTTCTAGCGACTGGACTTGAGTATCTACTACCGCTGCACCCACCCATGTGAGGGATGGGGAATGCCATCACCACCTATGATTGGTTTGCCGCTTTGACAACTTCCCGGCAGGATACCTCAGATGGGTTCTGACCAGGGGCGGACTGACAACTCATGGGGCCCCCGGGCAATAGGGGATCATGGGGCCCCTGTGTCCTTGCCCAAACTCAAAAAAGCCTATGAAAAAGGTACCAGGGGCATCTCATGGGGCCCCCTAATGACCCCGGCCCTCGGGCAGTGCCCGAGTTTCCAAATGGTCAGTCCGCCCCTGGTTCTGACTTCAGACCAGCCTGAGCTCATCCCTACTCAGCAGCGTATCATGCTTTTAATATATAGAAAGTATTTTTAGTAAGACATTTTGCTCTGTAAAGCAATGTATAATAAATTCTGGATATAACTTGCCTTGTTACATAGACTAGGCAGTAACATACTTCTATCCCCCTTGGTGGGAGTGGAGATGACCCCATCTACACTATATTACCAAACGTTTTGTCCCTGCCCTCCAAATCATGTGATTCAGGAGTTCCAATCCCCTCCATGGACACAGGTGTATATAATCAAGCCCCGAAGGCATGCAGACTGCTTCTACAAACATTAGTGGAAGACTGGGACGCTCTCAGGAGCTCAGTGACTCCAAGCGTGGTCCCGTGATAGGTGGCCACCTGTGCAATAAGTCCATCCGTGGCATTTCTTGGTTACAAAATATTACACGCTCAACTGTTGGTGGGATTATAACAAAGTGGAAGCAACTGGGAACAACGGCCACTCAGCCACCAAGTGGTAAGCCACATCACATGACAGAGCGGGGTCAGAGCATGCTGAAGCGCACAGTGTGCAGAAGTCGCCAACTGTCTGCAGAGTCAGACTGCATTGTGCCAAGTGTAAAGCTTGGTGGAGGGGGGGATTATGGTGTGGAGGTGTTTTTCAGGGGTTGGGCTTGGCCCCCTAGTTCCAGTGAAGGGAACTCTTAAAGCGACATTTTGGACAATTTCATGCTCCCATTTTTGTGGGAAGAGTTTTGGGATGGCCCCTTCCTGTTCCAACATGATTGCCCACCAGTGCACAAAGCAAGGTCCATAAAGACATGGAGGAGCCAGTTTGGGGAGGAGGAACTTGACTGGCCTGCACAGAGTCCTGACCTCAACCCCATAGAACACCGTTGGGATGAATTAGAGCGGAGACTGCGAGCCAGGCCTCCTCCCCCCGAACATCAGTGCCTGACCTGACAAATGTGCTTCTGGAAGAATGGTCAAACATTCCCATAGACACCCTCCTAAACCTTGTGGACGGCCTTCCCAAAAGAGTTGAAGCTGGTATAGCTGCAAAGGGCGGGGCCAACTCAATATTGAACCCTACAGACTAAGACTGGGGGGCCATTAAAGTTCATGTGTGTGGAAAGGCCGGTGGCCCAATACTTGGGGCAATATAGTGTATGAGGATATACAGCCCATACACACCCAGCACAAGGACGGGGTCACACTACCAGACGGTTCCCGTGGCTGCATTTCCTATGAACTCCACAAGGTGGTGATCTCACTTCTGCCTAGACAGGAAGTCCCTATGGAAGACAGGAAGTGATGTCAGGGACAGACAGGAAGTGATGTAAGGTACAAATAGGAAGAAATATCAGGTATAAATAGGATGTGCCAGGTGAAAGGTGAGTTGGGAGGAAGTAGAGAGGGGACATTTCTGGAACTGACAGTAGAGGAGGTAATAAGATACATAAATATTTACACATGCTACATTTTACAAATATAAAAAAAAATGGGGCTGCGTCGACTAATTTGATACCAAACATGTCAAACCTTAAAACGGCATACAACTGTAAATTGGCAAAAATGTTACCCAAAACAGTCTATAGGCAATCATTTAAAAGCCTTCACAAGTCATCAATTTGTAGTTAATAGTGAATGGCGGCCCTACAATCTACCTCCACATTGTGCTGCGATACCTAGTATGTGTTGTTTCTTGCCGACCTGAGATTTGTGGGGTTTACGCTTTTTTGGAGGGACATTGTTCAATGTTTTTATTAAGCTGGGAAGCGGGTACCTAGTTTTGACTGAAGTTTCTGAGAAAGCTCAGCCTCCCCTCTTCCTGCCCGCAAACTCCTGGGACATGTCACAGGAGGTTGTGGAACCATCTACAGGGTGCAGTGCATAATGCCAAGCTGGCCAAGGAGTCACAGCCGGATTCCCACAGTTAACATGCCAGCCCCGGAGACCCAAAAAAGCCGACAAGCAACCGGCCCAGGTGAAGACAGCGTTGAATTCCAGGACAGGTTAGTGTTTGCAGATGCAGCTTTTGTGGATAACTTTTGGAACCCTGGCTGAAGAACCCCTTTAAAGTAATGCTAAACCCTCATGTCAGAAGAGGAGGTCCACGTACCTATTATGTGTAATCCCTTTCTTCTGAAATGTCCCTTTGCTTCTGTAGCCAGGAGGTCCTAAGGCTCTTCATTTATTCAGGTGCATCTCTTTAGTTAGGAGACATCCATGCCTGCTCTCTCCCTGAGCCGTGTGCATCCATAGTCGCACACACAGCATGGGCAATCCATGCCGCTGCACCCTTCTCCAGGAAGGCTGCGCTGCCATTGGCGCCTGCTGATAATTTGCGAAGCCTAGGGAGCAGCGCCGATGGTTTCGGGACCTGGTGGCCATGATAGCTCTGAACCCAGAAGTACTCAGAGCTAATCTCTTCCAGGTTCATTCGCCTCAGGGGGGTATCAATGAACAGATGCTCCTTGATCTCCCACTACACTCTCTGGAGGAGTGGGAGTATTCAGAAGGGTCTCTAAAAGGATGTCATCCTAAAATGTGCCACGATCGCCCTGGAAACCAAGGAGGCCACATGATTGGGGGGGGGTCAGGACAT